TCGATAGCGCTGTATGCTTTAAAGCTTAATAAAATGAGTATTGCCTGCTCAGACCAGCAAAGGCTCTCCAGGTCGAAGGCACCTCACCATCTCCAAATCCTTCCACTAAAGATGCTGAGATGGAAACCGGGACCATGTGCATGCAAAACAGATGGTCTGACACTGATACAATGCTTCCAAATACTCCCTCCGCCTATGGGGTCTTGTGAGCCAAATTCTACCTTGAGCCACTGGCACTAAAGTTGTGATCGAGTAATTTGACTACTGCATAAACCAGATTGCTCTGGAGCCATTCATCCTGAGCCAACAAAATTGTGTGAGCCAGAGGCCAAAAACTGTGACCTAGTCCACACTAACTCAATTTAGAGGGAATACTGATCACCACCCCAGCCAATGAGTTTTAAGTGAAAGCATCTCTTCCCAGTATTGCAGAGATAAGTTCCCTAATAAATCCTACCTTAACCACGCCAGCAACAGTGGATGGAGGAAGGAAGGGGGAGATAGGATTTACACTCTGCCCCTCACTCGGAGCATCAGGGTGGCTAACAAACATCTCTCCCCTCCCCTCCCCACAACCGACACCCTACCCTGTGAGGGGGCATTGCCTGTGAGGTAGGTGGGGCCAAGAGAGCTCCCTCACGAACTGCTCTTTAAAGAACAGCTCTGACAGAACTATGGCTTGCCCACGGTCCTCCAGCAGCTGCAAGTGGAGGAGCAGGGAATCAATCCCAGTTCACTCAAATTAGAGACTACATGCTTAACCACTGCACCACACTGGTTTTAGAAAATCAAGGGCCTAGCCGCCCACCATATATCATGAAATGAGTGAGGCTGCCTTGCCCTGCTGCTGGTCTCCCAACCATGAACACTTGGCTGGAAACCAGCATCACTTCTATACCAATGGCAAGAAGTACAGTGCTTTCCCCTGTTCCTCCGCGAGCCACTAATCTAACACCCTTGGCCACCGCAGCAGCCCGACACTCTCAGCCACTGCCGCGGCCTGACGCCCCGGCTCGTGGTGGCACGGCTGACATTCCTGGCTCCCGGCACTGCAGCCCAGCAATCCAGGCAGCCGCCGACACAGCCCGCACTCCTGGCCAACATGGCCTGAGAGCGCCAAGACCCCGATGTTCCTGGCTGCCGCTGCAGCAGCCTGATGCTCCTGGCCACCACAGCCCGAAGAGTGCTGCAGCCACACGCCGGGCACAAGCGGCCACCTGTCCTGGACCTCTGGCATCCCACCGGGCCCGAAGCCCACAAAGGCCCGTGTCTGCCTTCCTACATCGTGCTCGGAGCTGCCACTTGCTCCTAGCATGCCAAAGGACTGGTGAGGTAGGGGGCAGGAGCCAGGCCTAAATAAGCTGGCTCAGCCCCCTATTGGTGTCTTCCACTTTCTGCCTCTCGAGGAGGCAAATCAGCCCTCCCCCGCCAGCACAGGCTCAGCGGGGGTTGGGGCTCGCATACCTTTAATAAACCTTTGTTGGTCTTAAAGGTGCCACGGAACTCTAAATTTGTTCTACTGCTTCAGACCAACACGACTGCCCAACTGGATCTATCTTCATTATAACTGAATATTTACTTCTAGGCTGATTTTCTCAGTGCTTGCTGTTTCTGTAATAGAAGAGTGTGGCAATAGGAGCTTATTTTATCAGTACAATTATTTTATCAGAATATGATGAACTGTCTTCCAAGTTGAGTTCTTTTTTCATACACTTTCTTAAAACTTTGTTGATTTATACTTCCTTGCTCCACCCTAGTCATGATGTTCTGACAATACATTCATCCTACCTTTTAGCATCTGTCATTGTTTGCATGTCCTTAATATCTGAAGGCCACACTACCAATATTTTTCCCCTGTAGAGCTTTAGTGGGAAACTTAAATGATAAAGGGGAGCTTGTAATACTCCCTTCCCCCCAACACAGGTGCCAGGATCAAATCTGGAGCTTTGTGCTGCTAGAGTAAAACAAACATCCAAAAATCCAGTCTTAGATCTTTTGTGGAATATGTAGTTTTTCCTAATAGAAAAAGTTCTAGGCTGATTTTGCACTAGAGCTGCCTCGATGTTGCACCGCCATTTGCCCCGTTACTATTGGTCAATTTCACACCCGAAGCTGCGGGGCTGCATTTTGACCCGCGGCTTCGCCCGATTTCCTCCGCAGTTTCGTGATCCTCAAAAAACAGGATTACGAAACTGTGGGGGAAATCGGGTGAAGCCGCGCGTCAAAATGCAGCCCCGCAGCTTCGGGTGTGAAATTGACCAATAGTAACGGGGCAAATGGCGGTGCAACATCGAGGCAGCTCTAGTGCAAAATCAGCCCTAGTCTGTTGAAAGACCACAAAAAGTTTTGAAAGACTAGCCGTACCACAGCCTGAATGTTAATACAGAAATTTATATTCTAGTATTAACATTTGCTAATGTTCTAACAGCATTTTCATGTATTGCTTAAAGAGAAGCTCTAATGCGGACTTTCAACTAAATGAAATTTTAATGTATTCAGCATTTTGCCTCTTCTGTGGCTTTCCTCAGAATCAAAAGCCATACACAAATAAGTCAGACATTCATGGCTGAAAGCACTGGGCTATCCTATGATAGTTCATGTGCTATCAGGGACTTACCTAGCTCATGGACCTTTTAACATGTTAAGAAAGCAAGCTCAACATGTGCACGTGGGATCCTGTGTAATGTTGGTGATCAAAACAGGTGTGTGGCATGGTGCAATAACAGACATTTTGTAAGTTTTTCAAGAGGAATAAATTAAAAAATTAGGAAATGTAGAGACCCATCAACACTTTCCAGCAATTGTTGTGAATCTAAAGTTTAGGTTAAGAAATAAGGTGACAGGAAATTTGCTACTGTGCAAGTAGTTCTTTACTTTTCAAAATCTTTTTAACCAGCTCTGTTCTCAAATAAGATATACTCACAGTACTGGAAATAACATCATTATGTATATCTTGATTTAAAGGGAAGCTCCAGTTAAATGAAAATGTTGATCATGTGAATGATCATGTTGATTATGTGAATGATTAGTATTATATTTATTATAAATTTGAAGGTAGGTAAATAAAGGGTCTTTAGGGAGCAATCCTGAACGCATGAAGCTGCCTTATACTGAACCAGACCCTTGGTGCATCAAAGTCAGTATCATCCACTCAGACTGGCAGAGGCTCTCAAAGGTCTCAGGCAGAGGTCTTTCACATCGCTTACTGCCAAATCCTTTAACTGGAGATGCCAGGGATTGAACCTGGGACGTTCTGCAAGCCAAACTGATGCTCTACCATGGCCCCTCCCCTAAGCAGGTCTACTCAAAAGTAAGTCCCATGTTATTCAGTAGGGCTTACTTCCAGGAAAGTGTCACTAGGATTGCAGCCTTAGACACCTTGCTTCCATTTAGGTCTCGGTGGGCATCTCTGAGTTGGTCTAGAGCTCAACCCAATTCCCAACACAAGCTGACGTTTTTTATAGTGAAAACCTTTGGTTCTTTGTACACCCTCCTTACCATTCAAGGTGATAGAAATTTTGAATGAGAAAGTTAAAAGAAAGGTTGTAATACCCTATGATCTCCAGAGCCATTTCTGAACATCTTAAGTCCAAGCTGATGGGGTTGAATCCTGAATTGGCTGCATTTTTTTTCCTGCTAGCAGAAACCTGAATTCATAGCTTCTTAGTTGTCAGCTTCTTGAACTGTAGAAAATTGATTTGTTCAGCACAGCTGTCTAAAAATTCTCAAACTTCATAATAGAGTTAATAGAAAATAAGATCTCAATGGGTTCAACCCTGCCATGCACACACAGGATTTTAGGAAGTTAATTTTCCTTTCCTTCTCCAAACAACTCTCAGTGCTTCAAGATAGTGGGAAGGCAATTTTGCTTGGCTTTCCCTTCTTATTTCAACCCCCTCAATGCTGTACAACATTTTGTTAAAGAAGACCTCCAAACCATTAGCATAATCATTTTGTGGTTGACAGAGACAGCAAAGGTGATCTGATTGCACATAGGATCCAGGCAGAGTTGCCAATAGAAGCTTAATGAGTAGAAATAAGCAGCAGAAGGTTTTACTGGCTTTGAGATAATTAAAACCTCTATTAAGAGGACAGGGCTTCCCCCCCCCCCTCCTCCAGGCAGTTGGCAGCCTTAAATCCAACCCTGTGATTTTTGTTAAACTTCTCTCTTGGAGTCTTTTGGCAAGAATACATATGTTGCACTATTTTATTAATCTTGTTTAGTCTCATCTGCTTATCTATTTAGTTCTCTTTTTGTATTGCCTTGTCAGTATAATGTATGGTTGACATAGCATAACCTAATTAAAGTCTATAAAGGATCATTTTTTCCATATGCCATTTTAATGCCTACTTTTATGCTCTTTTTAAGGTCTGGCTGACCTTATTTATTTTATAGTGTTGTGGGATTTTATCGTATTATGTTCCTTGGCTGGATTCTTACATAATGTTGGTACTCCTACTTTAACTTTATTTGTTGCAATTGTACATCAGCCAAGAGTGACACAGATAGAGTCATCAGCACATCTACATACAATAACATTTCTCAGCCATATAATAGGCTGATTTCAATAGTAAACACATAATTAAAAGACTTGACCGGCTACTTCTTTGTTAAACATGGTGTGATTTGCACCAGCATTTGTAAGTGGCCTTGGGTCCCTTCTGACAGTGTGCTACTGGACTTGAATGTAGCCATCTAACAATGGGATAGGTGGAGTATAAATATTTCAATCAATGATTTTTTTTCCCCTCCTCAGATTTCTTCCTAGAAAAGCACTTTTCCTTCTGGCAGAGTATGTTGGACTCTATGAAAACATGGCTGAGTTCAAAGGTCGCAGTGCCAAGAAAGGGAACAAAAATGACTGATACAAAGCCAGCCTGGTATAGTGCTTTGAGTGTCAGACTACAGTGTGTGGGAGCAAGGTTTGAATCCTCTCTGCCATGGAAGCTCACTGGGTGACTTGGGGCCAGTCACTCTCTCTTGGTCTCGCCTGCATTACAGGGTTGCTGTGGGGATCAAATAGAAAAGGGGAGAATAATATTGCAAGCTGCTTTGAACCCTAATGTGGGGCATAAACATCAATTATTTCCATAGATAATGCATATTGTGCTAATATCAGGCTTCTTACTTCAATAATACTACTGTTTCTTGGTAACTGGCATCATTACTTGGGGGTGGTCTGTTTTAAATATTCATTTGTAACATCTTTCCTTTGTCTTTCGCTTGCTATATAAACACTTGATCATTATACACACATAGATGATCACTACTAAAGAAAATAAAGGCCCTTTTGTCATATTTGTCTTTATTTCATAGTGAAGTGTTATCCACCTCATATCAAAGAAAAGAAATGAATGGTCAAGGATACAACAACAGCTTACAGTCTAAACCTAAGATCTCAATGCCAGCACAAATGCACTTCTTGGTACCCTTTGTATGCTCCACACAAGGGACAGATGGAAAGGAAAGTCCCTCACCCAGACAGAGAGAGAGCATAGTGATTGCACCCAAGACCAAGAGTTCCTGCAGTCACCAAGTGGCCTGATGCTGTCTCCAGGAAGTAGCCAACTAGGATATGATGATGCAACCATGCTCCCCTCCCCTAGATCAGGCCACTGCAACCCATCTGCAGTACACCAAGGGAGGGAACAGCACCCTCCACTGCAAGTAGCACTTGAGTGGAGAGACTTGGATGGAGACCTAGAGTTAGGGAGTCATTTGTTTTCTTCAACACATGCCTGAAATAATTAGGATGTTGTTGACATTGGTGGCACCATTAGTGGTGTACCCCTTTTAGTTTTTGTGTATGCTTATATCAGTATATGAATATCATGGCTGCATTTATTTTAAAAAATGGCACTAAAATATATTTATATCCATATACTGCTGTAAGTATAGGTTTAGCAGTTCACTGAATTCCCAGCTTTCTTCAGTTTTTTAAAAGTAAGTCTCTAGCATGCTCCCTCACAGAGACAGAACTAAAACTGCTAGAGACTTACCTTTTTAAAGTAAAAACTAGGAATTCAGAGAACCTGCTAAATCTATCATTTCAATGAGATGCCACTATATTGATAAAACAGTTTTTAAAAAAAAATATGAAACCCCTGATGAGGGGAGGAGTAGTTTGACAATGACAGCAGTCCAATAATTGAAACGTGGGGTAGAGGTGGGTTAGAGTGGGTGGGAGAAAAAAAAACCCAACAGAAATGTCTTGCATGAGGAAAAAGGCAACTCAAAGTCTGCTTCCAGAAAAAGACTGGGGTGAAAATAGTCTCAAAAGATTTTTTTTTGGGGGGGACAGGAAACAGAAACAAAAAACCTGAAGCAAAAAGTAAAGGTACAAAAATGCATGCAGAAATCAGTAAGCCAAAGTAGTATGGGGCCAGAACTGACAAAAAAAATTGCAGAAGTTCTCAGCGTTTGAACTGAAGTGCATGTTAACTGTGATGGTTGTGGTGCCCAAATGCAAAATCTCAGCCAAACCCATCGGGTAAAGAGTCACAGCTGTAGAATGGCCAATAAACCTTAACACTTCTACTTCTGTTGGTTCTCACTGTATGCATTCTACCCCATTCTGCCTGCCTCCAAGCCTTCTCTCCATCCTTACCCAGCTAATAGTATTCACTGAATCTGACTTTAGCCTACGGTGAGGTAAGATTGTAAAGATGCCAGAAAACATCACAAAACATTTCCTATTCTGAGTCCCAATTCTCAACACAAATCTCTGGCTCAGTTCTATTCTGAATTAAGTACCAAAAGGTTAAGAAAACATAAACATCCAGGCCAAATATTGCTTAGTCAATTAAAAAAATTAAAAGTTAATAGATATTAACATATATACAAAAATATGTGTATTTATTTCATAATTGATTAAAAACAGATATTGGCTCTTACAATAGCCTCAGTTACCATTGATGATCTACAATGACAAATATTGACCCTAACCAGATGCTTTTGGCCTAATTGGCCTTCCCCAGTGGGCAAACTAATAACATTGCAACATGGCTTCCTAACATATTAATATAATATGCATCATAAACTGACCAAGATGTATTACAAAGGATCAACACTATTAGGACTGATCAAACCCTATAACCCTAACTTTCAAGCTGATTGGAAATTGATAGAGAATCACTACCTAGGTCAATTCTCTTTAGATTCTGCCCCTTGGGAAAACCCTTCAAATAGAACAGAGGGGATCCAGAGACACTTACTTTTGTCAAATTCTTTTAAAATCTGGGACAGATGGAAAGAGATCTTAGCCCCCAAGATTTCACCTTTGACAACCTTTAGCAGACAATCCTGGTTTGCACTGGCAAAGTCTCCCAATTCATTCAGAACCTGGAAAGATTAAAAAACTTACCTGTTTCATAGACGTCCTCCATGGCTCATCAGTCATGGAGAAAGACTGTCTTGGAAGAAAAACAAAACTGTTCGATACATTGGTTCAAATATTTTCAGGTTAGACACTTAGTCAGATCTTTAAGTGCATGATCCAAAGTCATTTGCTAGACAAAGTATATAGTCAATTTCAATATTATTTATTGATAGCCAGTGTTCCCTCTAAGCTGAGTGAGTGTGAACTAGCTCACAGTGTTTTAGCCTCCAGCTCACACATTTTTGTCTTAGCTCACGAAGGATGTCGCCAGAGCAAATTAGTTTATGCAGTAGCGAAATCGCCTGCTCACAACTTTAATGCCAGTAGCTCACAAAGTAGAATTTTTGCTCAGAAGACTCCACAGCTTAGAGGGAGCATTGCTATTGTCCATAACCAAGGGAACGAATATTGATCATAACCTTGATCTTAAGAATTCACTGCCATGGTTGGATACACTCATTCCTATAGCAATGTTTCCATCCTGTACCTAAAAAATTATTTTATAAGGGTATTCTTACAGAATTTTTTTGTAGAAAACTGGTAAGATGTAGAAAAATAAAGCAGAGCAATATTTTACAGAACTCTGCTGACCAAATGAGAAAGATAATTGTCATTTATATGAAATATTGCTCTGCTTTATTTTTTCACGTTTTTCCAATATTGGTTTTTAATCTATTGTGAAATAAATACATGCATTTTTGTATATTTGTTAATATCTATTAACTTTTAAATTGACTAACAACATTATTTGGCCTAGATGTTTAAGTACTTTACTTAATTTGTTTTTGGTTAAGTTTCTCTGTTGTTTCTGTTGTACATGATTCTGCAAGGGTTACATGCCAATAAAGGTAATTGGATTGGTTAAGTCCCCCCCTTTTTTGTTTTTAGTTAAAATTCTATTCTGACCACAGACTGACATCTTTACTGATTTCTAGATGAGCAGTGATGTCCAAGAGGTTCTTTAGCACTAGTTCTGCAGGAAAGCAATGTACAGGTTATCCACCCAGCTGACCAGAAAGGGCTGTGAGCATACCTCTGCCCAGTGCCAGAAACGGGAGCAAGACCTCAAGAAGAAATCCAAAGCTAACCACAATTTGCAGTCCAGGGTTAATCCAAGAACCATGCTGTTGTACAATAATCAGATCATTGTACTGCTGGAATTGAGGAAGGTATGATGTCAGTAGTGGAATCAGCAAGTCTTGCAAGGGCCCCAGGCCCATTTTGGCCATGGTGCTCACTACTCATCCTGCTCTGCCAGATTCAGTGCCTGTCCATGATCCCAGGAAGATCTCTGCACCAGCTCCCTCTCCTTTCTCCACAGATGCACTGGAGACACCATATGAATGTGGGCACTCAGCACAAGAGACATTTTGGTCTCTCTTCTAGGTATCTCCAGATGGCAGTCCCTACCACTGAACAGGGAGAGCATTAGTATCCTCCTTTATGAGTTCTCCTGGTGCATGATGGAAGTGTGCAGGGTGGTGAAAATGATGCCACTCAGATCAATGAAGAGGTAATGTTTGCCATCAAAGAGGCTGCAACTTCACAGAAGTTGGACACAGCTGTTGCCCAAGGCACATCGCATCTTGCACAGGATCTTGCACAAGATCCTTAGCATTTTGATCCATACAAGAATAATTAGATTCTTTGGAAAGTGTCTAGGCAAAGAAAGAGGAGAGGAGGAGTCTGACAACTGACTTAGCTTGGAGTGGCCCAGTGATCTCCAAGGAGGCTTGCCCTGCCCTGGGGTTATGCTGTCCCACCCCTTGCCTGCCCATGCGTTGTGGTTGACCAATGGTGAGTAAGCTGCTGATGTACTTCTACTTTGCAAGAAGCATGGCAGTGCAAGGACAATGGAGACATCACCAGAGATACTTCTTAGTGTTGAGAAAGCAGGCAAAGATAAAGGATTTCCAGATGCACTCTGGTTGTTTGACATGCCTGCTGTAGTAAACATGGTTTGTTCAAGATAGCGCAGTTTAGCATGACATTCAATGGCAACCAATATCTCAGTGAGAAGATGCTCTCTTATGTTGGCTTCATCTTGTTTGCCTCCTTTTATCACCTAGAAATTACCATGAAAACAAGATTGGGGTTCCCTTATGTGGCAATATACAAAAAAATTAACTCAAGAGTGTGTGATGGCTATCAACACAGCTAGTATTTTATTTTAACATGTCTTGAGTAGTATAGCAATAAATATCTGTACTTGCCATGTGGCAGCATCTACTGATTATTAGCATAACAAAATGTAGCCTATAATGAGACAACAAAAATTACCTCTGTAATGTACCAAAGTGGCAGAGGATTACTCCCTGAGAGCATATAGAGGGCCTTTCAGCCACAGGTCCCTTCACTCACATGCAAGCTGTCCTCCTGTACACAACCAACAATCCAAACCTTACAAAATAACATAACGCCACCACCAGAAACACCTGTTCAAATTTTATAAAAGAGTTTTTTAAAGCCCAATATTAAGATACAAACAATTCAGCAGACATAACCAAAGTAAGGGGTGGATGGGGGGCAATGGTGCACACATAACCTGATACTCCAAATATGGATGGTATTTATGATAAAAGACACATCAATATTTTATGTTTTATTTATTTTTATTATAATATATTTATTTATGGTATTGTTTAACCCCTCATTTGCAGTTTCTTCCCAAGGTAGCTTCACAACATGTATAATTAAAAAGTTATGAATAAAAGTATTATTTAAAATACACTATAAGCAAATGCATCCTATAATGCAAATTCCCTTGCCCATCCAGATAAAAAGTAGGTAGATGTCTATCCAACAGAGAGAAAAAAATCAATAATCACTGATCATCAGAGACTCTAAAAAAATGCAGCTGTTTAACAGGCCCTGCAAAATGCCTTTAGAGAAGGGGGGTGCTTA